ATATGATTATTTTTTAAATTGATCATTCTCATTTCTCTTTATGTATTTGTTTAACAAAAAAACTATAAGCAAAAAATGAGACTCATTTTTGAATTAGCTAATTAAAAAAGCTTAATTAAAATGAATTCCCTAAAATTTGTATTTAAAACACTCTGCACATTAAATTACATTTTAATTATCTAAGAAATTAAATAAATATGTTAAAATGGTTATAAATAGAATCTTACAGATTTGTATAAGCTTAAATAACAATGATATCGAGATAAATTGTCATTGATAGTTTTCAATTAAATTAACCCTTTGGAAAGTGTAATGTAGTATATTGCTTGTATATGTGCCCATGTAATATTTTTTAATCCCTTTTTATTTTAATCATATTTTGCCATAAAATATGATTAATTTCAATTTATTAAAAAAAATTTTAATCCCAATTGAAATTGTTATTAAGCAATCACTTTTTGTCAAACGTTTTTTAGCTATTTGCAATAGTTTTTCATAGAATATATTATTCAATCACATTTAATTATGTAAATTCAATCAAGTAAAGTCAATTCAATTTAATAAGTTTAATAAAACTCATTTTTATAAATGCACTTTGCATTTCACAAAAAAGAAAACGTTGAAAAGCATTTTGAAAAGTGGATAAAACGTGATTGGGAATTGAAGGTCTAAATCTCTATCTGAAAAAATTGAAAAATTTTAGATTACATGCAATTTAATAGACCCATCATGTACAGCTTATTGGATCATATTTAAATCTATTACAATAACAATGATTTAATAGTGTCTTTGACAAAAAAATATTGAAAAGTATTGATAAACATTATTAGATTAAACATGATTGGAAATTCGAGTGGTATTTATTTAAAAATATTTGAAACTATTACTATAAATGCTATTAAAAAGAGTGTTCTATTAAACATTATTAAATTACGTTAAGAAATATTAAATAAGATGACATTGATTTACTCACTATTGGAAGTATTATTAAAAGTGATTGAATAGTATTAAAATTAATAGTGAATTTCCTTATTGGTTGTGATTTCGATTAAAAACTATTAAAAACGATTTAACTTTAATCGACTTGTCGATTGAAAATCAACGATTTTATTAACAGCGATTAGAATATATATATTGAAAAATATTGAAAAGTGTATATGAGAGATAATGCAGTCTATTATTTTTGTAGTCTTGATGTACTTCATGATTCCGATCCGGAGAACAGATTCGGTAAGTCATCGATCGTCTAGTGGTAGAATTTCAGCTTCATATGCAAAAGATCGGGGGTTCGAATCCCGGTTCATACGCTAAAAATTGAGACTAAGAAAGAAAGTCAAATATCTTTTTTTTATTTTTATAATTTTGAATCGCGTCATTCGGATATAAATTATATGTCAAAAAATTTTTTATGCTAATTTTCGCTTAATGTATTATGAATAATCGTATCATTTTGAATAGTTTTTGATCCAATCAATTTGAATAATTTTTAATCGTTTTGCTTCCGCGTACAATTTTAATAGATTTTAAATGGACTTTTCGGAGGACAGATTCACGATTAAAAGTTATTAACTTATTTTTAATAATTTTGAATCGAACTTTTTTAGCAGGGTAGGGACATATTTTTATAGTTCGAGATGCGCTCTTTCCAACGGTGTAATCAGAATTTCGCTAAAAAATTATTAACTAAGAAAAAGTTCAGTTTAAACAAAAAAAAACGCGATTTTTTCATACTCTTTTTTTTTCGAATCGAATTTCCAAGGTGTTTCTCGTCTGAAATGCATCTGGAATATCTCTAACCGGTGGTATAAAAATGCTCGAACTTTGAGAAAACATGATTTGTGAATCGATTTTCCCCTTAGTGTTTTCAAAATGGCGCCTGGAATGCAATTTTTTTTGGCTTAAGTTCACGAATTTTTTCCTTGAAAAATATCAACTTTATGCATAAATCACTAAGAATAAAAAGTTCTTAAAATCGTTCAAAGAATGCACCTAAATTATTTCAAAACATTCGAAGCAACTTTTTTAATTTTGCAAATTGCAAAAATTCTCCAAGCGCTTTGAAAAAAATCACACATATTCTATGAAATATTTTAAGAACTTTTTATTCTTGATAATTTTCCACGCAAATACTCCTTTTCCAAGAAAAAAATGTGCGAATAAATCGTACCACTGAACTTGAGGATTTTTTTTCTTGGAAAAGGAGTATTTGCGTGGAAAATTATCAAGAATAAAGTTCTTAAAATATTTCATAGAATATGTGTGATTTTTTTCAAAGCGCTTGGAGAATTTTTGCAATTTGCAAAATTAAAAAAGTTGCTTCGAATGTTTTGAAAAAATTCAGGTGCATTCTTTGAACGATTTTAAGAACTTTTTATTCTTGGTGATTTATGCATAAAGTTGATATTTTTCAAAGAAAAAATTCGTGAACTTAAGCCAAAAAAAATTGCATTCCAGGCGCCATTTTGAAAACACTAAAGGGAAAATCGATTCAAAAATCATGTTTTCTCAAAGTTCAAGCATTTTTATACTACCGGTTAGAGATATTCCAGATGCATTCCAGACGACAAACACCTTGGAAATTCGATAAAAAAAAAAATGAGTATGAAAAAATCGCGTTTTTTTTTTTAAACTGAACTTTTTCTTAGTTAATAATTTTTTAGCGAAATTCTGATTACACCGTTGGAAAGAGCGCATCTTGAACTATAAAAATATGTCCCTAACGATTTTTTTTCAATGCGATTATCACTAGATATAAGCCCTCGAAAAATGGTATGCCACGAATGGCGTTTTGGGCCTTTACGGGTTAAAACTTTTGTTATCATGTCTACGTCGTTACAAGTTTTGGATCATTTTACAATAAATTTTCAAATAATAATGCTTGTGATAGTCTTATTGAAACTATTCTTCCGATTGCTATTTTCACCTCTATAAAATATTTAAATAGTTACGAATAGCATTTAATAGTACTGTACAATATTTGAATGATAATGAATAGCATTTAATAGTACTCAACAATATTTGAATGATAATGAATAGCATTTAATAGTACAGTACCATTTTGAATAATACTAATATAAATATGCATCTATATATTCACTTTCATTGATTACAATTTATATAACAGGTAGCTCAATGGCACCGTCTACTGACGCAGCTGCTCTGCCTCAACATAAGACGGATGATTGTCACGAAATGAGTAACTCTGACACAGAAAAATCAAGTGAAGCATCAGCATATAGTGACCATGATCATAAGAATGTAGTAACAACAAAGACAGAATATAACAATGCTTTTACAACCAATCAATGCTCTTACCAGGATGTTGCACCTTTCAATGTATTTGATCAACAAAATCAAAGTTTCAATATTGCTCCATTTGGAACTCCAAAAAATGGTACTGGTTCCATAATAGATTATTATCCATCTCAAGAAATATTAACTTCAAATGGTAAAAACGAAATTGAAGAGCAATTTTCTTCATCTGATCATGCTGATGATGACGATGATGCCAATAATATACCCTGCTAAAAATAATCCATTGAAAATTATTTAAAAAAAGTGAATAATTTTTAATCATAAATCTGAATCCCTCATATGCCAATTAAAATTCTATTCAAAACGATTTCTCCCGTGCCAGTGAACCAAGTTGATTAAAAACTATTGAAATGGATAACATAAAATTTCATTAAAATTTATTAGGAATCTAATAACATTCTTTGGGTTTTAATAAGAAATATAGTGATAAATCAATAATATTTAATGAAATTCAATTAATAATTATTTAGATTACATTCTATTGATATCAATAGTACTATTAGGTATTCAGATTTATGATTAAAAACTATTCAATGTTTCCCCGCAATTCAAGTAGCATTAGGAATCATTAATATTGATTGACTTATAATAAAATGCAATCGCTTTCAATAAAATTGATGATTCGTAATTGAAAGCGCGATTAAAATTGAATCATATTTAACGATATTCAATAAGAATCATAACTAATATCCACATTTACGATTAAACTTAATAATTTTTAATCACTTTTAAAAACATTTCTAAAAACGGACGATTGGTCATGTTTAAAATAATACTTTTTTATATTTTTCAATGATCTTTGATTAGGCACAATATTGAATCACGTTTAATTCAATAACTTTGAATATACTCCAATAAGCTATCTAGCACTAAATCGTGCAATCACATTCCTCTATCATATACTTTTTAATATACTCTAATAAATTAAATGAGAATTATTTTCAATGACATTCAATATTTTGATATGCATTTGATTAATACTTTTTAATGGATTATAAAATTTACCTACGAATCACTTTCAATAAAATCGAATCACAAGTCCTACTCTCATCAGGTGTATTTTTAATATCATTATAACGAATCCTTTATAATACATTTTAATACTAACAGTCACGATCGAAATATACAGTATAAAATCGTAGACTTATACGAATAATATAATGATTCTTTTTTAATCAAGACTCCGTCTTGAATAAGTTCGGAATTAAAATAGCATGTAACGTAACTAGCAGTCTTTATTTGAATTAAAAGTTATTGATTTCGTGTAAATCTTCGATGTTATTGCAAAATAATCGTTAGTATGTTAAAAAAATAACATAGTAATTATATGTGTTCTCGATAGACTTTATTTTTTCATGATGCTACACTTACCTGCATTATTTGTGATATTTATATAATAAATGTAAATTTAAATAAAACAATAAAACTAATATTATAGATATAAAAGATAAGAGTTAAATATTGACGAAAATCTTGTTTATTCAAATTTGCATTTTTTTCATTCTTACATTGATTTTTCAAATAGATTTTTCAAATAAATATGAAATAAATATTAGTTTATAATCGTCAGATCACTAAAAAAAATTATAATATTCTCTTTTGTAAAATTTCTTTTTCAAATGAAATTTCTAAATAAATATTAAATAAATATTAGTAAGATATGAACGAAACGTTTAGGAATTTTTCACCTTTACAAAAACTTCAATTGTGATGATATATGAATATACCATGAATACTTAACTAAATAATTAAATAAACTAAAATTAAACTTCAATTAAGATAATATAAATATTAATACTCTAATTAAATATATCTTCATCAGAAGACGATTCTAAAATCGACTCATCAAAAAAGGTTTCATCGGTATCGTTCGAGGCCTGCACATCAGTGTCTAATTGATGCAAGTCATTACTCTGGCTGGTATTATGATTCTCCATTCCCTCTAATTCACCCAAAGCCAATGGATCAATGTCATCGTTAATATTCTTCAATTTTTTTGAAGAAGATTTCTTCAAACTAGAAATTTTGTGCGTCGCATAGTCTCGAAAATTCCTAATTTCGCATGCTCTATCATACTCTCTTAATTTGGTTTTTGATAACTGTTTTTCGTAATGGAATTCTAGCCAATGATCATAATACTCTAAAAAATGCAGATATTGTAATCAGAATTAATCAAGGCACTCCTCAATCATTCACTTTTATAGTAAGTTTTTATTTTTTTCAATAGTTTTAAAATTTTTTCAATAGTGTTAAATGTTTTCCAATACTTTTAAATATTTTTCAATAGTGTTAAATTTTTTCCAATACTTTTGAATATTTTTCAACAGTTTTTGATTTATTTTAATAATTAATCAAAATTCTTATATTTTAACACTTTCTAATATTTTTCTGTCATACTATACATACCTTTGCAAGCATTCAATAATTTTGCATCTAACTTTGATGGTCCTTCTGCAGAATCAGCATTCTTTTCATTTTGTTCTTCATTCTTTTCTTTCTTGCTGTTTTTTCCAATAGTTCTGTTACTTATTCGACCTGTGATCGTACTTTTTTTCAGAACCTCAGACCCAAAAACTACCAACAATACACTGCCAACAAATGTAGAAGGAGAGTTGGAATTTGCTATGAGGTCATAAAAAATATGTTTTTTCTTTGTAATAAAATAGAGAAAATCGCGTAAATTATTTTTTATTTGCTCACTCTATCTTTTTCTACATAACCACAGGGCATGTGGTTGAGCTTTGGATCCATTGATTGTCCATAATCTGCAATAGCTTTCTTTTGTTCTAAAAGTACTGAAAATTTACACTGCATTAGTACATTCGACCAGATAATTCTTTCTAATGGAAAAATCCACCAGTAGAAAAGTCATTAACAGCTCAATTCTTTGAATAACCCTCATCCATATTCAATGTTATAAAAGAGCTTAACCTATTCCTCCACAAAATGTCCATTTTCGACATCAACTTTCCATCACGTATCAATGTCCATTTCCTCCCACCCTTTCCTTAACAAAAAACTTATTAGAGCCATAATCTCATATTATTAAGGTCAGGTTTTTAAATTAGATTGTTGACAGTATTTTGGAAATAAAGCAATTTTGATTTTTTGAATTATTGCCAAATTTCAAGACTGTTTTTCGTTTTCTAAATAGCATTGGTAGCTAGAGCAACCTTGAAAATAGCTTCTATTGCTCTAGCAGTTTTTCGGGCGGGTGAAAATGGAAATTGATACGTAGTCAAAAGTTTATGTCCAAAATGGATATTTTCAAGGGAAATTAGTTATGCGGTAACCCAACTATGAAATCATAGAAAATATCTTTTTATAATACAAAAATTAATTTAGCAATCTAGTTGTTGCACATGATTGGGCTACCTTACCGTGATAAATTAAGATGGTCCATGAGGAATGACGAGAAAACCAAATGAAATTCTGATAAAGAAGTAATAATGGAAGTGTTAGAAAAAATTAAAAAATTTATCAAAAAGTTTAAAATTAATACGATTATATACAAAAGCGGAAGATTTTCGGAGAATAATGTATCATCATATTATCAAACTAACTTTGAATCGACTTTATTACTACTATATTATATACATATATTATACTGCTGATAATACTGGATTATCAGCAGTATTTTGTAATGCTTGATAATTAAATAATAATTAATAAAATTTAATGGATTTGAACTTTTTTTTTCATAGGACTTAATTCTTTTCAAGCGTGTTTCTATTCTTATAACTAGAATAATATCTAACGAAGTAAATATTAAGCTGTATGAATATGAAATGACACTGGAGGAAGGACATACAGTGATCGAAATTAAAATAAAATTGTAATGTATTAAAGAAAATACAAAAATTGCGCTTTTCAAACATGCACAAGCACATGAAAATGTAATTGCCACAACCAAGAGCAATGTGATTTATCTTATGTTAATTACCAATCATATTGAAATGCATCAAATGGCACTGGAACGTCCAGCATTCCGTCTGACGCTGAAATGTTTTAGATATTTATTTTGATAATCTAAGCTATCAAAATATTATGTTGACTTCACTTGGAATTTATTATATTTAACCCTTTGCGGCATAGTGTGGTATTTCCTGCATGACACATTTTTCCATACTGTTTTTTGCGATATCAAAGTAATATTAAATGAATTTCTCCGATATATTTCTTAGAGTTTAATAGCCGTGGGATGATATGAAATTAAAATGTGTATACAATGCCTCTCAAAATTTCAATACTTTGTTGATAATTATGAACAACGTCCAAAAAATAGCGTTTTTTGTGATAAAGGAAGATTCCAGAAATATTCTTAAGATTTACGAGGGTCGTTAATTACAAATCTAATCTGCAACTTTTCAGTGCGTGATCGTTCCGAGATTTTGAATTTTGAAAATTTGAGTTAAGATTCGTAATTAAGGAATTTGAAAACACCAGTATAACGATTGTAAAAGAAGTAATTGTAGGAAAAAACGTATGCCGCAAAGGACCATCAAAAGAACTATTAAAATTTTTAAATTTACATACCAAGAATTTTTTTTATATCTGCTTGAGTATTTTCTTCCCATTTCTCATTTTTAGATTGCAACTCCAATATTTTACTTTTTAATTTCTTATTTTCTTCCTTCAAGCTTTTGTTTTTTTTTCTAATTCCTTCTTGTCTGCAGCTAAATTCCTAATCTGGCGGTCTTTCAATTTTGTATTAATGTCAGAAGCTACATATGTAACATCCTGAATATGTAAGAAATATTTACAATATTAAGAAAATATTCAGAATAAATATAAAGGAAAATCTGTCCTCCACTGTCACATATTGTTACGTGACACTTCATTGGATTATAATTGTATTTTGCTTAATAATATTTCGGACCCGAGATTTCCGTTCGGACATAGTATAGCTGACGCTACTCATGTGCGCGACTTGGTGGGAATGTGCGGCGGAGGCTGATTCACGCTGAGCCGGCATGCTGGGACTGCACGCTGCAGTCCGCGTGCTTAGCTAGGTAAGACGACCCGCCACGAGAAGCGAAAACATCCGAAGCGTATACGCTTCGGAGAGAGACGGCATGGTAAGGACAAAGGCTATATAATAAACCAGCGAAGGCAGAGCAGGCGGAATCAGTCAGTTAGAAGCGAGCGCTCAATTAAGAAGGCCGCATATTTTTCTACGGAAATTAAAACTGTAATAGAAGTCTGAGTGTATTAGAAGTATCAAGCACGATTGTTTTAATAATTTTGTATAAATAGAAAATTACGGGAATCATTTTTTTCCTGCGTGTTGTTACATTGTCGGATCAGGAGGATACTAGAGAAATAAAGTTATAGCGACTATCATTGTCCTGCACATTACTACACCATAGTAAAAACTCATTGGACCGATTGAATTTGACCAGATAAAACGGAAAGGTGATTGGCCATATCACAAACCAAATAATAACTTGAACCAAATTGCATTGATTGTACTAATATATAGTAAGTAATACTATTATAATTTTATGTAACGGGAAAAATCCTAGACAGCGCGAGACAAAAATTACGCGTCTGCGAATTTATATGCTACTACTATTTTGTTCAACCTACTTATGTTGCGAAAGAAATTAGAATAAATATTATGATTGTAAAACAAGTTTAAGTGTATTCATATGCTTCCCCGCTATATCGGAGAGAGTAGCCATTACGAATTTGCTTAAAACAAATAACCAAAAAACGTTATAAACGTTTAATTATTTGTTTTACAAGAACGATATTGAGTGTCAACTTATAATTAACGTAAATTTATTATTGAAACGCGAATGGGCCAGGGTGCTCGAAAGCCTGACTACCGCCCGAGTCCAAGGCCGCTCGGCTGTTAAAAGAGCCTTCCAACGGGACAAACTCGCCTCGCGCGAGTTGTCACCTATCACATATCTTTTAAAAAAGGTAAAACTTAGTAGGCAACTATGGTGTAGATACTTAAAGACTGCTATTGAATTAAATCAATCGATTTTTATCTTGTAAAATTCAAATTCAAAACTTCATAATCATTAAAAATTTTAATTTTCATGCACTTGCTTTCACTCAGAAATATTTCATTTAAAAACAGTTTTAAGGTATATCTACACACGGTGGGTCTGAGCGACATTTAAATAAAAGTGAAAGCAGGTTCCAATTTTTTTGCATATTTCGGTAAAAATACTAATAATTAGAAGATCCCAGAAAGAATTTAAAAAAATCCCTGAGCCCTTTTTGAAAAAATCGATTTTTAAAAATTTTTATCAAACAAAAAAAATAAAAAAGTAATTTTGGTTGTGGTTGATGGTATTAATAAATAAATCAATATTTTTTCGATATTTCCACAGATGCACATTTAATAATAAAAAATTCAACACCAGCATTTTGAAAATTAATTTTTTTTTATTTATTGACTGTTTTTACTAATTTTTATCTCTCTATTCTCCCATACACAATCATATTAATGGAGAAACACATGTATATATAAATATCAGTGTTTATTAATAGTATACATACGATAAGGACATAGCAGTATTGTAAACATGTGTGTTTACAGCGCGCACCTGTATCTAAGGAAGTAGTAGCTAGAGTAGCGTGCTCAAAAGTTTTCACAGTTGTCCCAGCTTGATTGACCGATCAATAATGAAATCTGCCAGTAATAGTGTTCTCGTGATAAGAAATACAATAAGAATTTTGTTGTAGTTAACGTTCTGTGTTTCTTCAAAATAATTGAATTAGCAACATGAAGCGACGTGCACTAACGCACTCTGAGAATCGTTCGAAAATTTGTTTGGTTTGTCAGAAAAAGAAGGCTAAACTGAAAAAAATGTGTGGAAAGTTAGTTAGACTTTAGTGAGTTACAACATGTTGTAACTCACTAAATTCTCCAATTTCTCGAGAAATTTTTTTCAGCTAATTCAATTATTTTGAAGAAACACAGAACGTTAACTACAACAAAATTCTTATTGTATTTCTTATCACGAAAACACTATTACTGGCAGATTTCATTGTTGATCGGTCAATCAAGCTGGGACAACTGTGAAAACTTTTGAGCACGCTATTCTAGCTACTACTTCCTTAGATACAGGTGCGCGCTGTAAACACACATGTTTACAATACTGCTATGTCCTTATCGTATGTATACTATTAATAAACACTGATATTTATATATACATGTGTTTCTCCATTAATATGATTGTGTATGGGAGAATAGAGGGATAAAAATTAGTAAAAACAGTCAATAAATAAAAAAAAATTAATTTTCAAAATGCTGGTGTTGAATTTTTTATTAATAAATGTGCATCTGTGGAAATATCGAAAAAATATTGATTTATTTATTAATACCATTAACCACAACCAAAATTATTTTTTTATTTTTTTTGTTTGATAAAAATTTTTAAAAATCGATTTTTTCAAAAAGGGCTCAGGGATTTTTTTAAATTCTTTCTGGGATCTTCTAATTATTAGTATTTTTACCGAAATATGCAAAAAAATTGGAACCTGCTTTCACTTTTATTTAAATGTCGCTCAGACCCACCGTGTACAGCCTACTTTCCTGCTAAGTCTGACCTCTTTCAAAAGGTATGACGGAGGAAGGCAGATTTAACTCAACGTATCAGAATTATGAACCTTCTAGATCAAGAGTCGCGGTCACGGTACATATGTACTTAAATCAATATACAATAGAAACAGCTGATCAGTCTGCACTCTACATTTAGGCGCGTATTTGCAGGTTATATACATACCGACATTACGCGGCTCGAAGTCCGATTCTATGTGGACTTAGGTATTATACCTACAAAAGACGCGGGATACTTAACGTATATTACAAAATCTGAGACGAAAATCCGATCTACTATCGCAGCTTCGAAGCTATTTTGTGCCTACTAGTCTGCGAGCTGCGACCGCGACTCTTAGATATCATACATGTCAAATCTTACTTTAATAACAGGCAATGCAGTATCATTTCTGTTCTGCTTTGGTTTTGCCTGGTTTTTGGAATCTGAAATTTCTTCATCAACAACTATAATTTCTTCTGGACTTTCTTTAAGATTGGTATCAAGATTGGCGTTCGCATTCGTTTGAGATGCTCCATCCTACAATTTTGAAATACATGCACGCGATAAATATAGATGTATATCATCAGATATGTATATATAATTTCACGAGGACGCTCAATCGGTGACTAGATCGTTTACGAGCGAGGAACGCCTGGGCTGTTCGGACTATAGTAGGCAGAGGAGAGGATAGCTCCTGGGCGGTATTGAGTTCAGAACAAAACAGGGTAATTAATCCTTGGATATGCTCAGATTCTCGGTCGGTATTTCGGATATGCACGGAGGGGCACCTATTAGCGAAACGAAATGGTAAATAAACAGCCATGCGCGAGATTAAAATGTGTAAGGCTAATTTTTACAGAAAGATTCTGATACTGAAGCTCCATAGACTTAGTATAGGCTTTGTGTCAGAATTAGTATCTGTTTGAAAGTGTCGGAATCGTTCTGTAATCAGCCTAAGTTCGGTCGTACGCTCTGTGCATCGCACTTATTATTCTAACCACAAAGTTAGGTTATGTTGTGACAGAGGATTAAGATGCATAAATAATCTATTATGTGTATAGTAATATATTTCAACCTTTTCGTTTTCATCTCTCTTTTTCTCTAATCCTTTTTCACGTGGATTTTCGTTATCAGAAAAGTTACTTTCAGATTCAGAAGCAGTTTTTCTCTTTTTGTTAACATTTCTGGCTGTTTGTTCATCCTCGAGTCCTCTTTTTGCAACTAATTTCTTCTCCATGAGTCTCTCTATCTTAATTTTACAGTACTTAGAAGATTCTTTGACCTATAGAAAATTGTAAATTATTTTTCTGTAAGTAATTAAAAAAAAATAGTATTTTTTTTCAAATAAGTCCATTTTTATTTTTTATAATTGAAATATTGCTTGGTCAGCAATGAATATATGCAACAGTAATATAATTTTCTGTATCCTTTGGTCGACAGTGCGTGCTTTCTGATTGGATTTTGCTTCGGAATGCGGCACTTTTGTGCTTTGCTATGGAGTCGCTTGCGCTCTCTGGCGGCGAAGGTGCGAAAGTAGCTATCAGTGCAGAAAGCAAAGATTTGGAGATATACAGCTACACCCCTGTGCTAGTATTCGAGTTCGTACTTAACCCTTTCTGGCACAGCAGGAATACGCTTTCCTAGCAATTTTCATAACATTTTTTGCGATTATACAGTCGTTTTTTATTGATCGAATAGAAATTTTTCGTAGTTTTATATAGGAACTTTTATTATCAAAATTTATAGACAATACTTTACGAATCTAAATTCAAATTTAAAAAATTTAGAATGACGGATTCAAGATGGGGACCAATCATTTACATTGTTTGTATTATTGTTTTTATTAATTAATACATAAGGTCTTTTGAAGATGCTAATGATGAATCTGAACTGGAAGCTTTTTAAGATTCGAAATGAGGGATACAAGATGGTGGACCAAATCTGATATTTTTCTATTACGATAAAATATAGTGTAAAGGAGTTTTTAGGGTGGCTGATTGCGAATCTGAACTCAGATTTTAAAAATTCAAAATGTTGGATACAATATGGCGGTTGAAATTTGATTAATTTTTTTGTTTGGAATTGAAAGTTGATATGCAGGTGTTTTTGAGGTCGCTGATGACAAATTTGAACAATACACTGACCTCTATCTTCATACAACGAATTATAGCTTCAAAACAGTCGCTGTTGATTCATTTTTTGTATCGTCATTTTGAATTCTCAAAATTTCGGATTACATTCATCATTAGTGACTCCAGAGACACCTTTATAACAACTTTTAACAAAAAAGTAAAAAAATATATCAAATTTCGATGCCATCTTGGTTCCGAAATTCTCTCTGTGTACTATTACAATAGAATAAGTATAAGTAACGGGATGAATTAGACATATTTTATTAACAAATATTGAATTTTATTGAAAAAATATTAAATTTTATTGAAAAATATTGAATTTTATTTAAAAAATATTAAATTTTATTGAAAAATATTGAATTTTATTTAAAAAAATATTAAATTTGATTGAAAAATATTGAATTTTATTGAAAAAAATCATGTGTTTAGCGCCTTTAGAAAAAGCCCATCTAATTGGCTTAAATAAAATTTGAGCAGCCAATGACAGAACCTAATCTCAAAATTGAGGGAAATTAGAAATAGTTATATGTCCTGTCAATAAAACTTATATTATATTAAATATAAGGAATATTAAGTATAATCACGCTGTTGATTCAGGTACACAATAAGCTTACAGTACTTTTTGAAATTTGAATTAAGTTGAAACTAATTATTGACAAGAATTAGCGAATAAAATATACAAAATTTGATCAGTTACTACAATCAAGAAGCTTATGTGATTTTTATGTGGGCTATTGTATGAAATTCAGAGAAAAACAACTACATAACATAAAAGTAAATGTTATAACTAAATAATGATGCAGTGTGTATGAGTTGAAAGTAACATCTGCAAGGGAACGGTACTGCAAGGGATATTCTGTATATACCAGTTTTCTAGTCAAATTTCATATAATCAGTATTACTAATTTGTTTATTGTGTAAAAAATGTGCAATATATTGTCAATAAAAATTTGAGAATTTGACTCCACAGCTGAAATATAAAGCTTTGATGAATTCAGTTCTTTTATTTTCATTTTGTTTTTGGGAATTGTGATTTTAATGTCTTGCGCACAGTCTCCCAGAGTGATTTTATAATGAAACAACTTTTACAAGGGCTCAGTTTTTGTGCGTTTTAATTTTCTTTAATGTGAAGCTATTTATATTATGCCCAGAATATGTTAATGATCAATAATACATCAAATAGTACAGAAATCTCATAATTTAGCTTTTTGATGCACGTTTTTTGCCTTAAACTGATGAAATACAGTACTTGAGGGATGAAACAATCGAGTTCCATAGCATCATTACATTGTTTAAGTTTTAAGGACAATTTTAAGCCTCGGCAAAAGTAGTTTAGTTGGTTTTTGGTAACAGGATCCTGTGCGCTAACAAAAATTATGTTGTTCAAATTTTCTAGTATTTTGAGCAGAGTTTATGGAAAAGAGCTGAAGGGTATACTATCCCCTTAGTATATATAACTTAGTATATAACTATCTTAGAAAGAAATTTTTTTAAAGATGTATTTTAATAATCTAACAGTGTAAATGATATTCTAAGAAATTATATGAAATTTAGATTGACAAGTTTTTCTTATCAGATTATTTTATTTGTTAATAAAAATTTATACATTGTTAAACAAATTCAGCTATATATACTGGTAAAATCAAAATATCCTCTTCTAGAAATATCATTTTGTTATGAAAAGATATGCTTATTCTATAGTTTAGTAATGATTTGAATTGAAAAAATATTTCATTGCATTACAAATTTATTACAAATAAAATTAGAACTTGAGAAGATGTACATAATTTTTTGTTTTTAGTAAATGAAAATTTACCAAATTCTATTCGTAAGTCATTAGCTTTAGAATTACTTGTTCATTTTGATTTCATAGTGTAATGTGCAAAGATATATTACTATATATATTCTAATTTTATACACGTTAATATTTACAAGGATTTTTACAAGGATACACTAGAAAATTAAATTCAACTTGTGCATACGTACTTTGTATGGTTCCATTCACAAAGCAATTCTACAACTTTCATTGGATCTTTCAATACAAGTATAAACAACTGATTGTCAAATCTACTTCAATTGATAACATTTTATAACATGTTCTTTTGTGCAATATAGACTAGTAAGTTATACAATTATTATAATTTAAGATTTATGTCAGACTAATTTGAAAAAATTACTGTTATGTGCCAAAAAATTATGCATGTCCTTCACACTTTTCTTCTTTCAGATAAATTGTTTATATTTATTACAAAATTACCTGAAATTTCTTTTTGCTGGTCAAGGGTGCATGAGCTTGGGCAGTGCAGTCGACTTCTGAGTCTGTAGCTGTGTCTATATTTTTCAGACAAGGTATACGCACAGATAACATAGTAGACAAATTTTGCTCCAGTTCTTCTAGTGTATCTATAATATACAAATTTACTAATAAAAGTTTATGACGCAAGATAATATAGTTTCTGATGATGTAAATATAAATATTATATTGTGAATATAGTTTTGATATTATATATTTTTTTTATCAACTAATGAGATGTTATTTATATAAATTATAGAATTTGACAACAAAATGTAGTTTGATTTAATTTAATAAAAATTTATCAATATAAATTTTTTTACTTGAAAATGATTGATTTACTGTTTATTATTTACATACCTGCAATGCTTAAAATTAATACTCTTGTCAGTAACTTTGGGTTCTTGGTAGAATTATCTTTGTCTATGAGTTTGTACTTATGGTTTTTTAAGAACTCATTGTTTGCAAAGCTGTGATTGCCATAGATCATGTCAGTAGTGATATTGTCCTCAGACGACTTTCGTTGACCATTTAGATGTTTCACACGAATGTACCTGACTTTAGCAGCATCATGATTATCAGTTAAACTAGACATTTTTATTACTCCTACACGCTACAAAAAAAGTCGATTTTGGCGCGAGCACTTGTTGCACGTTGGTTATGCAGGTTAGTTTTCAGGCTAAGTAGGACAAAAAGCAAAATGTCGTGCCAGCTAATATGTACACGATCACGTGTTTAATTTAAACAATTTTTCGCGAGCACAGTTAGATTTTCTCTCGCAAATTTGAAAGCTTTAACTGCATGCCTAATCTGTACGGTTGCTGCACTATTAATTCACTCAAGTCAACAATGCAGGCTGAACGCCGATGCCCGGTACGCAAGGCTGTATTATTACGGCTATGTCTACAATGTCCCCCATTCTCTGACCGCCACACCGGGTCTATGGGACCTGCTGGTATTAGTGCTGTTTTTTATTATTTAATAAACACGTATTACGAGTCGGGCTCTTTTGGAGTTATCCGATTTGGTTTTAAGTACCCACCTAGCGTCTAGAATGTTCGGTTTTTGCCCGTTTTGATTAGTTTTCGGTCTAGTTACGACTTCATATACCTTTTGGTTATTGAAGGATTCAAGTTCGTCATCTATCGCTCGTTTCCATTCAAGCTTATCAGGTCTACTTATCGCTTCTCTATACGTTTTCGGGTCCTTGTTAATTTCTGCAAGTAACGCGTGATATTCTTCGCCCTCGTCATCGTCAATCGTTTCAGTCATCGTAAATAACACAATTTTGTTCTTTTTGGGTCTGCCTCGATTTCGTTTTTCTGTCTTTTCTGATTCTACTCCCTCCGATCTACACAACTCTCGTTCGTCATCAGATTTGTGTTTTTCTCCCTCCGTTTCTAAGCTCTCTGCTTGATTGAATCTTAATTCTTCGTATACCTCGTCTTGCCTTTTATAGAGTTTACCGTAAGTAAGTCTCTCGGCGAATCTAATATTTCGACTTTCGTACATTTTCTTATTTACAGGGTCATACAGAACATAGCCAATGCGCATATAACCCACGTGTATGGTTTTAATCGTTATTTTGTCAAATTTTCTCGAGGGATCTTTCGTTATATAGGCTACACACCCAAATCTTTTGATCTGATTAATATCTACGTTATATTCTGGAGCAAATAATTTTAGAGGAGGTTTGAAATTTAAAGTTCTATGTGGGGTTAAGTTGTACACGTACGTCATTGCACCCAATGCTACATCCCACATAACAGTCGGTAATCCGGAGTCTAGTAATGCTGAGCATATTTTTCTTTTAATTGTTTGATTGAATCTCTCTGCAACTCCATTGTGTTGTGGAGTGCCCGGACATACAACCAATAATTCGGCTCCGAATTCTTTTAGCACGTCTGTAGTTCGTTTACCCGTATATTCTGTTCCTTGATCACATTCTAGATAACAGAATTTTGAGTCTTCTCTTCGGAGATTTCTCGCGGAGATTATAAAGTCTTTTAAGCATTTCGGTACTTCGTTTTTGTGTTTTATTAGGTAGGTTCCTGCATATCGCGAATTAGTATCAATAAACGACGCAATATACCTGTAGCCTTTCGGATGTGATGTCGGTGTGATAGGTCCCATTAAATCCGCGTGTAATCGCAGTAATGGTTTATTTTCACGATGTCTGGCTTTGCTAAATGGGAGTTTCTTTAATTTAGATTGAATACAGGCCTCGCACTCTTTAATACTCTCGTCAATTTCGCTTAGTTTTAGGTTTTTAATTTCGGGGTATTCTATGCTTAACTTTCGAATATAATCAACTGACGCGTGGCCCATTCGTATGTGCCAGATTTTGACGGTACTGATTTTATCGAGTTTTACGAATTCGTCAAGTTCGGTATATATATTTGTTGGATCTCCGTCCTTATCTAGATTTTCGATTTGTCTGTCACGAATTGTACTCAGCAAGTCCTTGACTTTGTTTATACCTATCGCTTTAGTTTGTTTTGTTGATTTTTCTTTAATTGATTGAATTTCGAGCTGATTCGCATTGTTTTTTAAGTTGCTTCTAGTTGTTACATACGCGCATTTTGATTTTACATTCGCGCGGAATTTATTCGTATTTACTTTGTGATTACAGTCGTTCGTTTTAATCGAGATTATCCAAAATGGTCGTTCGTATTTTCCGGATAGAAAAATTTGTTCGGTTTTGGGATCGAATACATTGATGATTTTATTGTCTAAATATACACTTAATCCACGGTCTACAAATTTACGTAACGAAATCAAGTTTTGAGTTAAATCTTTTGCGTAGATCACGTTGTTTAAGTAGACGGTTTTACCTTCGGAATTTTGTCCTTTGATTGTACCTTTGCCTTCGTATTTTAGTTTAGCTGTTGGTGATTTATTCGCGCACTGTATGTAACCGTTTTTCGTTTTATCAAGAGTAGAGAAAATAAGTCAGCTATTAGATATATGATCTGACGCGCCCGTGTCTGCTATAAAGTTATCAACGTTCGCACTACTTTTTTCATTTTCGCTACTATCGGGCTCGCTCTCGTTTGACTCGTTACTCTCGCTATCGCTCGATACTTTGTTTGCTATATTCGCCTTTGCACTCGTTTTGTTATATTTCTTTTTCTTACCGAGATAACGCTGTCTGCTTCTGTCGTTTCTTTGGTTTGCAGACGACGTTTCTCTGTCTCTCGTTCTCTCGTGATTTCCTCGCTGGTCTACCCTTGTCCGTTTGTTGTCTGTGTTTTTGCGATCTGCCTCGAATCGCCTCTTCCTGTCATTGCCAGCTGGTGCTCCCAGACCCTTGGCTCGACACTCGTCAGCTTTATGGTTGCAGATTTTGCCGCAATTATAACATTTGTATTTCCCAGGGTTTGGGCATTTATCTTGATGGTGGCCTTCGTCTCCACATCCGAAACATCTCTCTCGTTCAGTCGTTGTTGTTCGTTGTGGTTGCACTAAGTTGACTTTAGGTGAGCTTTGCACTCGATCAGTTGGTCCTATCTGTAATAAGACTCTTTTTAGTTCATTGTATTTCAATTTCTCTCCTTTAGCCAGTTCGTTAACGCAATCGGCTGTTGCTACCGATGGAATAAATTTCTTTACTGCATGGTACAACAGATTCTTTTTGTTTTTGTCTGAAAATTCGTCCGCGCCTGATTGATTTTCGTATTGTTTTACATAGTCTTCGAAACGCGAGCAAAATTGTATAATATTCTCTTTCATCGGGTTAAATTTAATATTGATCAGTTTACGGTAAGTGTCATGCTCTGTCATTCCTGATTCTGAAATTTTAATCTGTTTAATTTCGTCGAGAAGCAGTCTAGGGTCGTTGTGTTTAGTTGATATGTCAAGATAGTCTTTGCTCAAGTGGTTCATGATGGTGTCTAACACGCGAGTTTCGTCGTTTTTTAATTTAGCCGGATCGGTGTTGTTTCGCGTCTCGTCGTTTTTATCAATTATGTAGAACGTTTTACGCGTTTTTAATTCTGTGAAGAGCAATTTTTCAAAAACGTCGAATCTCATATCTTTTGTTAATGAGTATTTCCGATTTGTGCTACTATCCGTATTTGAGAATTCTACGCTAACTCTGCTAAAGTCTGTCGCGTTGTTTTGTCTATTAGTCAAATTCATTTTCTCTAACAAGTCATTGCTAATTTTTTCTGTAATAGCTTTAGTCAAGTCATTGATATTTTTGAATTCTACTATACCTTTCGTGTTTCTCTCGTCTTGGTCGTTATTATTGAGATTAGACTCTGTTACCTGGCTGTCGTCACCTTCTGCTGTCTCTCTTTCGGTACTGTTGGCCAGAGGTGCCAGAGCTTCGTAGCTCCTCCTGTTGCCTTGATTTTCTCCCGCCCTGACTCTCCTATCGTCAATTATGCGGAGCCTGCTGCTGTGTGTACCTGGACTAGTACCGAAACCTCTCTGTCCGAACATCGGAATCTCTCGTGGAGGCTCCGGCTGTTTTTGAGCTGCGGCGACAGTCTTCAAGGCAGTGGCTGCGGTCGTCTTAGCCTGTGTATTCTCCGTTGGTTGGCTAGGTGTGGCTGTTGATCCAACTATGGCGGCGAGCAGCGTTTCCAACTTGCTGCAGAGGCTGTTTATAGCCGTCGTATTTTCCTTAACCGCCTTGTTGTTTTCCTGGCACTGGTCGTACAACAGCCTGAGCTGTTCAGAGACAGCAGCTGTCATCCCTTCGTCCGTTGTTGTCGTCGCCGTCGTCTTCTTTCTTATTTCCAGACGTTGAGGCTCCTTCATGTTCTCTAGGCATCCTAGCAGCCATCCGTGTTCCATAGCTGAGAGGACATCATCACCTTAAAGCAGTCGACACTCGTAAGTAGAGGAATCAGTGTTACTAGACTAGTGCAGTACAACTTGCACTGTCTGTAACAGGCGATTGATCGCACGACTAGCACGGCTTAGTCGTGTTCTCAATCACCCTAGGACTGGGTGTCTTTATACCCACGCACAGCTGTGAGCCAGAGCACCCAGAACCCTTCACACGGGTAAGCTCTCTTCGTTGCAGAGACGCTTACTCTGAGACCGGTCACTCTCGTGTTTTTCAATATAATAAGAAAAACCATCAATTTACATTATAAATTGACCCTTCGTTGCACTCGTTAATAAAATGAAAAACTTACCGATTTTCGTGATCTCTCGGTTAGTATATGCCACAATCAGTTCTGTGGCATTCATAGGGTTTTTCATTATACGAGTATATGCTCCCTCATACGGATGTTGTTCCCACAACTTGATAGCCTCAGCGAGTTTTGCTTTTACGGAGTCCAGTATTTCTATAAAACAATTTTGTTAAAATATCTTCGTATATTACGCCCTATCTCTCTTGCGCGCACTCGTCTTAATCGTTAGTCATTTCACATGTGTATCCATACATACACATACATATATACATATTTGCAGGTATACTTTTTTTTTATCCCCACGAGCGTGTATGCTTCTATCTCTCTCTCTCTCTCTCTTATATTTCCGCTCGCTGCGTTCGACTCTGCTCTACTTCATGACGAACGCTCGCTCTCTTTCTCTTTCGTACTCGCTCGGCTCCTCTCGACTTGACAACCTGCGCGCGCACGTCTTCTTTGCTTGTTCACACAAAGAAAAGGGGTGTGTGTGCGCGCGCGACGCGCGTGCCAGAACTGGTCGCTATTTCTTTTTCCTATCGGCAACAGGTTGCTGCAAGTGTGGCGACCATCTTGCCAATTAGCGTTGGTGCCAAAATTCCCGGAAATT